TGCACGAGGGCGCTCGGAGAGGCCCCAGTCCGCTGCTGCCTCCAGGATCATTGGCATCAGCCTCCAGGAAGCTCAGCAGATCCTGAACGTCTCAAACCTCAACCCAGAGGAGATCCAGAAGGTAGAGGCTCCCTCAGAGCTGGAGAGGGGCAGTGCTGGCTAGGCCCTGCTCCCCCATGGCTGCTGCCTGGTGTGGTGCTGTCCTGGGCCCAATTAATCCCAGTTTGAGGTTTCCCTGCCCCAGCTGGAGGAGCGTGCTGGCAGCTCACGGGCATTAGCAGCCTGCCCAGCTTGACCCCTGCATTTCCTCGTGGTGCTGCTCAGGGAGGGGATGTGGGACCCCTGGAGGCACTCGTCCAGGAGCATGGGGACCCGCTGGGGGGTCAGGAAGAGCCAGCCATGTCCCCAGGATTGCACTTGTCACCTCCGGCACCGCTGCGGGGGTTCGGGGGTGGTGAGGGCTGGGGAGGTGGATCTGACGGGGAATTTCTCCTTGGTAGAACTACGACCACTTGTTCAAGGTGAACGACAAGTCAGTGGGAGGCTCCTTCTACCTGCAGTCCAAGGTGAGCCAAAGGAGGAGTGGAGCTGGGGCTGTGCTGGCACCTGTCCCTGCCCTCAGCACCTTCCCCTGCCTGGAATTTGGGAGAGCAGAGCTGGAGCACTGGCACAGATGAGGCAGGGAAGGGAAGGAGCAGCCCTGTCCCTATGTGTCACCCTGTCCCCATGTCCTGCAGGTGGTGAGAGCGAAGGAGCGGCTGGATGAGGAGCTCCGCATCCAGGCTAAGGATGAGAAAGAGAAAAGCCGGAAAGCTGAGACGTGACCCCTGCTGCCCCCGTGCCCCGTCTCCCTCACCCTTAACTTATAGGTAGCTAATAAATACTATGTACTCTAGCATCTGGCCTGGCTGCTCTGTGCCCTGGGAGAGGGGACTCACCCACCACCCCAGGAGGGATGGGTCCCTGCAAGGGGTTGGTGGGGCTGGGCTTTGCCCTTCAGAGGAGGAGGGAGGCAGCTGGGGAAGAACGGGTGGTCCTGGGGATTTGAGGGCTGCCATGGCTCAAGTGGCTCCCAGGAAGGTATTTTCATGGTGGGTTCAGACACTCTTGGCCTGAGCAGATGGATACCTCTGACTCCGTACCCCAGGAGTGCCAGGAGCTCTGTGCTGTTACCCTTCTCCCACTGCGGGCAGGCTGCTGGGATGGGCTGAGGGGCCAAGGGGGACACACTGACACTGTGGCCACCTTCACCTGCGGCTCATCCCACAGATCCTGGCAGGGCTTCACTGGTGCCACAGCTGCCAGCCCAGGAGCGTGGGACTTGCCAGGGGTCAGGCAGAGCAGCTGTGCCCTGAGATGGCTCCTGTACCTCTCTGTCCCCACTGTGGTCTCCTTGCTGCCATCACCTTGGTCATGCACTGAAACAGGAACTTACTTCAACTTCACTTTATTGTTTTCTTAATAAACTTCCTCTCCCCTGGACGAATATAGTGTTATAGTCGTTAGCTTATCTCTTACTTCTGCAGTCCTTAAAACGCTATGCTAACAGCGATGGAGCCCAACAGGAGGAAAATAAAAACAACCCAGAAACTACAATAGAAAGGCACTTCGAGACCGTTAAAATACTGATGTCCTGGAATGTGCAACAACAAACTGACGAAGGAGCGAGGAGACGTACACGGTACACTGGCCGGGGTGGCCTGGTCGTTGGCCTGTGGCCATGCTGGGGCTGTGGCAGCACCCGGCCCAAGGAGGGTGAGGGCAGGGAGACCAGCTCCCCACGGGGCACACATGGCTGGGGGCTCCTTCCAGCATGGAGGGGGCAGGATGAGGGAGACTCCTGCCCTGGTTCAGAGGAAGTCATAAGCAGGGTCCTGCCCGGCAGCAGGAGGTACATGGGACCCCCCTGCATGTGCCAGGGGTGGCACCAAGCTCTGCCTGCACAGAGGCCAGACATGCTGCCCACTCCTGGCCCTGTGGCAGCATCTTGCCCGCCCCAGCACTGCCCCATGGCCTGGGGGGACTCATCTGGGAACATCCCATCCCAAGGAGCAGGTACCCCCGCCAGGCACTGCCAGT